AAGACGGGAGCGTTCCACTGCACGGTAAATGTGTCACCATGGGCGATAGATTCGCCATGCGGAGGGGGACGTCCTTTATAGGGTCGACGAAGGCGTACGGCGTCGCCAAGGCCCGACGTGCTGAATTTGCCGCTCCTCCTGCTGTCGCTGACCCCGTCGACCCTTTGCACCCACTCCCTCCGCCTTCACGGTCGTCGTCCGAGGATGACAGAGTCAGTAGCAGTGGGCTGTTTTCGTGGGCGAGGGATATGGAGACATCGTGACTGTGCATATGAGTCAGTTCATTGGGAAGGTGAAGACGAGCCAGACGGGCATATCGTTTGTTGAAAGAGGATCCGGTCGCGAGTCAAACGAGTCAAGAGTCAAGGCCTAGAGCGAAAATAAGACCAGAGAGGGTCGGACGGACAAATGAAAACATGGTAGATAGGGCGGAAGATACTGCGTACGAGAAAAATGTCGGAAAAGCAAACTAAAGGACGCAGCAATAAGACGGAAAGTAAAATATACAAAACGTACAGACTCGCGAATTCAGGAGTAGCAGTTATTAGTACATGACAAAGGCAGATATCAACCATCAAAGGAATAATCAACAGTCGCAACAAGGTCAATCCAGAGAACATGCAGATATTAGGACAACAGAAAAGGTCTACGCACACGATGGCGTTTTTTGCCAAGAGGCCGTCCATGCCGAGTTGATTGAAGCCGCCGCGCACTCTGATCATATCTCGCAAGCCCATGAGGTGGTATCGTAGGTCCTGGTCCGATTCGCCCCAGTACCACTCAGCCACGGTTAGCTGAATGACGCCGGCGATGGCCGCATCGCCGGGCTTTTGAAATACCGAGGTGCTTGAGCGGTTTGCGTCTGTTGAGGTGAGCGCGGGGGTGTTTGACGCCCTGCTTTTGCTGCTGTCCATGGTCAGGTTTTCGTTGAGCATAGCGATGGCTTGGCCTTTGCAAATCCGCAGGACATCTGTCCGTACATCCCCAGTTTCGTGAAGGAAGCAGGCTGAGGTATAGAGAATGATCTGCATCACCAGAGGATCTTGAAGGCAGAAAGGAGAGTAATGACGTATAAAGGGGTTGTTGGGGCTTGGGTCGCCATTGATAGAGGCTTTAAATCGGGAGAGAACTGCGATATCTGTACACGCATATCAGGACCATGTCTTTGGCAGATCAGGGCTATGTCCACTTACACAGTCTGAGTAATTTCTTGTTCAAGGGATTTTGGTCCACAGGTAGAAGCGCTATTTGCTCGTCTATACCACTGGCTGGTCGTTCCGGGAATTGTACCCTAGACTCTGCTGGATGTGACCAAGGTCCAGAACTCTGACCATGCTGCGGGGTATTGTCATCGTCATGGGCCGTTTCAAAGTTCTCGAAAATCAACTTCGGGACCGCTAATCGATGTGACAAGACTTGCTGCGATGCTTGGAAGATGTCGACATCTAGTATACTACGATCGGGGTTGGCTAATGGAAGCCATGAGACCGACGGTGGAAGACATTCTGCATCGTTGTTGAGGAGTTCTGCGTCTGGCCGTTGTACGCCAATCGTAGATTGAAATGTTGCCAGTTCCGAGCTGGGGCTTGGTTGTGACGTCGAGAGACCTGATACAGCCCAGCCAGCGATGGAAGGACTCCCGAGCGGTCTTATTGACTGAGACGTTTGTATCAGGGGAGAGCTTACTCCTGGTAGTGTTGAGAGAAGGGGACCACGACCTCCTGCCCTTGCTGGTGTCAGGAAGGTAGATGTTCCCGGTATGCGGCTGCTGTCGGATTAAATTATGTACAAGATTTCGGTGGCACCCGTAGATCTGGTAGGATGGGACGGGGACGGGGCTTCGAACTTACTTGCCCACGCGGTACTCGCATACGGGGTGAGGAAAACGACGGAGGCAGTTGCTACATGGCTGGCCCTGATCACACTGTATCTAAGTTAGTCTTATGGTCCTTGGATGTGAGGGCTCAAGACCAAGCAAAGACGCTTCTTTTGATGTTTCGTGAATGACCAGTAAACACTCAATACCGGCATACAGTGTACAAAGCCAAAAGAAGAAAGTCTCAAGCGGTCAGTGTACGTGCCTTCTGCTTCCTTCGCCTGCACTCCCCGCAGGACGTTGTCGTCCTCTCGGCGCGTGCTGCGTTCCGTGACGTCCGCTGCTGCTGCGAGCCTCCGGACATCGTCTGAAAACGGCACGAAGGCGGCGGCGGCGGCGGCTGCTGCTGCTTCTGCTGCTATCGCTCCCCCCTTTCGTCTTCCGCGAAGAATTCGTTCCTGAGATACTTGTTTTTTTGTTCCACCTTTCCAGCAGATCAGCGGCGGCGACGCAGTATCAAACATGACGTGACTTTGGACCCGAGAACCTGGTTGAAATGTTCCTGGTAAGGCTGACTTATAACAAATCGGAGAAAAGAGCAACGGGACATTGTCGAAACCAGATCAAAGGAGAAAGGAGGCTTTGTCTGAGCTGTAGGTCGTCGGGTTTTGACACATTTGGTCTAGCGTCATGGGGATACCTTCCTTGGATCGAGCTGGGCTGAGGAGAAGCCACAAACCAGCCCTCTGTTTCTTTCTTGGGGTTTGGTTGATGTGCACTAGCTTCCTCACTAGTGCGAGAGCCCAAACCCAGGAAGCGGTAGTTTGATGGTTCAAGGTTTCGCTCGCTGGGGAGAGAGAGGGCGTATATGAGCCAGTCGATTCGATGGAATTTCCGTGGGACACAGCTGATGCATCAATGTCGACATATCGGATCGAGCCTGGTCAGATCCGGTCTCGACATATGGAGACTGTAAATAATTGCCTTGCAAAAGGTATGCCCTACTCGAAACTTCCCATCGCTGCCGAGAATATCTCTGGACCGCAATCAATAATTACGGTAGATGCTACCTTTTCGAGTCATTCATGGACCGGATAATCAAGCCACTGGGCAGCAATTATGCTATCAGCTACACGCTGACCGCAGAATCGGTGTAAGCTATGAAGCACAAGCCCCATCGTTGGCGGCTTGTGATGCTCGAGCCTTGTCAAAAAAAGACTGGACACTTGTCCTTGTAATACCCTGCCACCTGAGAGATAGAGTCGATGCGGCGATGTGACGTCAAGTTTGAGAATGGAATTAGCCGGCGAAACAGAGCCATAGGCTCAGACAGGCTTTCCAACGGCCCGCTTTCGGTGAAGCCCGAGGCGGACTCTCGAGTTCAAGAATGCGGACCCAAGGAGCAGTCGATGGTTCGCCAGTGTGCGAAAAACGGTCGAGCAAGTTAGATGTGCTGAGATTCGTGACAAGCATACCCGGAAGCCTTCTCCTTTCTAGGGAATGTGACGCCCACATTGTAACGAATCGATGCAGCCGCAATCAAGCAAGTGCGCTAGCACAAAACATGCGTGTCCTGATTCGGACAGCTGAAGTGAGCCCATGATGCGTAGCTTCTGCTCAATCTCGCGGATCTAGAGACCTCAAACTCAATCGACGTCGCCAAAGGAACGAACTGCTCAGCTACAACAGGAGCCAAGAAGGGCTAGGCCAGGCTTTCCACTAAGGCAGAGCTAGCGCCCTTGGGAATCTCCATCATTCAGTGAGGTGCCCTGTGGAATTCGTCAGCCCTGTCTGTGGCGCATCAAAAAAGCAAGAAGTGAGGGATGATTTTCTGAAAAACGTGTTCATCGAGACACGGCTTCGTAAAACGTGCCTATAGAAGCCCGCTGCCGGCCCCCAAATGTCTCGGTTGGACTTAGTTGAGGTAGCATTCCTGGGGGTTTCCTAATGCTTCGAAAACTCCATCTCGTGTCGATTCTTACTTTGGTCTGTGATGCGAACCGTGGGTAAGGGGGCAGGGAGGAACGAGACGACCATCAATGAGACATTGGCGTGCCCCTCGTGGCTGTTCACATTTGCTTTGGCGACGATGGGACGGCGCCATGGGCGGCGAGCCTGGAAACAGCCTCGTTGGCTAGCTAGCTAGATGTCGTGCGGACGCCATTGAAGATGAGGTGGAGTAGGTAATAGATTCGAAGCTGTGTCGACGGCTGGAGCTTCGTTCTCGAACCCAAATCTTGAGCCTTTGATCTGTCAGAACCCACGGCAAGATTTCCAAGAGCATTGGAGTTGCAGCATATCAAAAACGAACCGAGGCCAGCAAGTCAAACGGAAATACAATGGGTGTAAGGACGTTTTGGCAAGCTCAGGGGAACGTGCCTTTTAAGCTTAAGGCCGCTTCGCGATCAGCAGGGCCCACTCCGCCGTGACGTAGTGACCCACTAGCCGACCGAAGTCTCGGGTTCTCGCCACCGCCCGGAAAGCGGGAAGGTCCCGGGCTTGGAAGAGTTGGTTGCTTCCATGCTGCACTGAGAAAATTAGTAGGCACGGGGAGCGAAATGCTTAGGCGTAAGGAAATGTCATTATTTCATTAAGATGGCCGCGTGCTGTGCCACCACTGCACATAGCCAGTAGAATCGCATGCGTTGGAATGGTATCTGAACTTAACCCCCCAAAACCTGTTTCATTTTCCGAAAAGAACTCCCTTTTACTGTGTGCTCTTGAAGAAATAGAGCCTCATAAAGTAGCATGATATCCGCTTCTCCGATGGCATTCCGATGGTATTACTGCGTTCCGAGTATTCTCATGTGAAGAAATAGGGTATTCAATCGAACTCTCCTTCATTTACCTCCCGCGGTAATCTGGCTTTCTAGCCATGTTCACTGGTGGAGGCTCGTCATCCACTGGATAAGGCAGAGGCGACGAGCCAACCGGACGGCGGCCTCCGGCTGCCTGATGTTCTGGAAGTGGTGTCTTGGGAGGCAGCGGTGGTGGAATACGCTGTGGCTGCTGCGATTGTTGGACTGGACCGTTACTGTAAGGCTGGTTCTGCCATCGGGGATGTTCATCCGGGCTCATGATAGCAATCTTGTCAGCGCCTGCTGCGTAGCGATACTGCGCTGGAGTTGGCGCAGTGACAACAAGTCTGTCAATCTCATCGTCCTTTGCAGGGGGCAGGGGCCGTTGCTCAGCCCGTGGTGACGACGATGGTTGCAGCCGTTCGCCGGAACTCCTTGGAGAAGGACTCATTGGTGAAGGAATGTGCAAGTGCTCAGAGCCAGATTCGTAAGACTGACGGCTGGGCGGTGTGTTGTGTGGCGGCCAGGAGGTAGGAATCTCGGCCGGCAATTCCACCGCAAACGACATTGGCTCAGTCGTCTCCGAGTTTGACTTGACCAGTTCAGGGACTTCTGGTAGGCGGGAGAACCTAATGTTCGCTTTGTGAATCTTGGCCATCTTCGCAGAGGCACCTTGAATCATCTTCTGCTCGACTTCCCGCCTCAGGTATTGCCGTGTGCTCGTGCTGATTTCGGCCAGGCGATGCCATTCGTTCATACCAAACTCGCCGACGCCAACCTCCACATTAAGACGATAGTAGTTCTCGACGTTGACGTTCCGCTTCAACAGGTGCTCTTTCCTCATTTGCTCGTGGATCGCCTCACATCCCTCAATCTTGGAGATAAGCTTCCGGCGAGCTTCCGCAAACTCTCCCAGGAAACCTTCGTACCACATCTGTGAGTTCGCATCACTTCCTTTGGGCCGTCTGCCGGTGCCAACGCTGAGAAACACGCCGACTTCGCGACCAGGCCATTCGTTGACTACGGCTTCGTCAAGAGCCTCGGGGGAAGGGTTGAAGGTGCCGCCACCGTCGTCGTGAAATACGGACTGCCCGATTTGAATGGGCTTGAAGGCTAGGCCGATCGCACATGTTGCCCGTCCAGCCTGCCAAATCTTGCAGTCAAACTCTGGCGGAGGCTCTCTTCTCGAATCGTAGGATCGCAGTACGGCGGCGGGGTTGCCCTTGCGGGAACCTTTGTACATTGCCAAGACGACGCTGAAAGAAGGGAAATGTCAGTTCAAAGCGCGTTGCGATGTAGGCATGCCTGGCAAAGTACCGGCAGTAAGTGGGCAAAGACTTACGTTTTAGTCCTGTTCTCCCTTGCGTCGTAAAGTCTCGCGTTCGGGTCACCGTAACGCGAGTTAAAGGCAGGGCGTGCCATCTGAGCCTGGGGACTACGTGCGCTGAAGCTGACAGTGCTGGCGTTGCTTGCATGCCTCCTGGGGTTTGAGGTGTTGTATCCACTGAGAGGGCTGAGTACATCGTTCTCGGTGCCGTCATTGCCTTCTTTCTGATATACTGTGTGTTCCCTTACAGCCTCCTTAATAGCCTCCTCAAGCTTGGAGGCCTTGAAGAGGGTTGAGCGGTAGGGAATGCCGGCGATGGTTTTGTCGGTCTCGAAGACCATGCGCGTCAACCTAACGTAAAGTTCTTTGCATTGCTCTAGATCTAGGCGTAGTCGACCGAGCATCAGGGCTATAAGACCGCCGGTACCGGTTCCTACGATGAGGTCGAAATGATCGCAAGGCCGAGGGATTTCGTTTCGCCGCGGGGCTCTCCCCTCGATCTCGACAAAGGTGCGGTGCATGAGTTCTTGGAGAATGATAAACATGGAGTAACCGCGGACTCCTCCGCCATCTGTCATCAGCATGTTAGTCGAGTGCATCGGCGCTTTCGGGCCAGTTTCGCATGTTTTGCGCGCGACTTAGGTGTCGCAATAGTGGCCGGTCTGCTTCACTTTGCTTACCTAGAGACAGGATGCGTAGGGGAGGGCCCTTTGTGGTGTCCCTCCTCCTGACTCCATTGGAGTCCATGATTTGAGCAAGCTCTCGTGGGTTAGCTGGCTTGGTCGCGATCCACCAGGCTTCTTGGTCTCGGTGTGGGGTATCGGTTGTCGTTGAGAAATGTCTGTTGGCGGTCGCAATGTGATTGTTTTCGCAGAGTGGGTGTTGTTTTCTGCGAAATGCGAAAATTAGGAATTTCGGAGAAGATGGACTAGTACTGTAGGTGCAAGTGTGTAAGTAGGTAATTAGTTTAGGCAAAGCAAGGCAAGGCGGGTAAGGCAAAGTGCAGATGGTAATAATCCACCGCCCACCCACGAATACAAGTACAAGGCCTGATCACGAGTGGGAGGGTGACGCAAAGAAACGGCTTGCGCCCTGCACCATCCACTTGGATGGGGTCTTGGCCAACCCTGTCACTTGCCCACTTTGTGGAGGATGGACTCACCATTTGTGGTCACTCTACCGATGATTAGCAGAATGTCGTCGCATTCGCAGCTTGGGCTGGAAGATGGGCGAAAGTCTGAAGATGGGTCGGCTGGTAGCGATTGCGATGGCGATGGCGGCGGGGAGACAAAACACCCCAGCGAGAGAACCTGTATTCGACCTTAACAGTCCGCG